AGTATATGTTATCTATTAATCTAATGATTAAATATTAATGAAAATTATTTTATTAGATTCGATTAAATAAGATGAATCTAATGGTTTTTATTTCATAAAAATTGGAGTTGTATTGGCAAAGATACATCAATTTGAAAATTGTATAGCAATACAAAAGACATATCACCTGACCATTATATATAAAAAAAATTAAAATAATAAAATATACACATTATCTTAGTTTTTTGTAACTAGACAGATAAATTTATAAATTACAAATCAACCAATCTTGAGATAATCATAATTAAATTATCAGCTAAAATTTATAATTCAATAAAATCTACTTAAATATTGAGAAACAGAACACTATTGATTAAGATCATATATTTTTATTTATATATGAAAAATATATAATGTGACGTCATTTCAACCATTTTGACTTTTATTTCATTGATAAATCAGTTGTTTATTATTTAGCGGTTAGAAAATACTCTGTTATTTAACTTTAGCTGCATATGAAGTTTAATGAAGCTCTTTACAAATGTTGGATCTTCAAAAAAACGTGATCAATAATTAGCCGAAGGGATTTGCTTATAATATTCAAAACTATTTTGGGAAAGTGAGCTTTTTTTATCATTATAAACAACTTATTCGGGGATATGGAAAATATTTGCGTATATGAACAATGCTGAAAACTTTGAAATTCTTAAGATCGAGCCAATCAATAAATAGGCAGAATATACCGAAAAAGAAATTCACTTCCAAAATCTTTTGGTAAGTAAAGCTTAATGGCTCAACGAAAAGATTCTATATTAATTCACGATCAATGATTTATCATATACAAATTCTATAAATCCAATATCTTATCCACAGCCAACGTTTCTAATTGCTTCAAAGCCACGAATTTTTACTCAGCTATTTCATTAAGTTTTCAAATTAATTAATATTTCAATTTCCATAAAACTAATTGAGACAATTAAGTAATTACCACCTAGCATACAAAATCTGATAAAGAACAAGAGATACTCGAATCTCATAATTATGAGAATGCCTCAAGACATAATTGAATAAATTGATTTTATTATGGCCAAGTTATACAATTGACACAATAAAAAAAATAAAATAAAATAAAAGAAATCACAGATAGTTTGGTAAAGGAAATTAAACGGGTGAAATATAAATAAATAAAATTTTTGATAAAAATAGTAGCATTTAATTAACGAAAATTTTAAAATAGTTTATTTTCTCAAAACCTCACCACATATTCCGGTATTTTGAAAAATTCTAGACCAGCGGTTTACCTAACTATTTAGCTTTTGAAAAAGAAAAAAAAATCGGACTGGAATCTTTGAAAAAAAAAAAGGAAGGAAAAAGTAAAGTCGTTACTTTCACCATATATAAAACTTGGAAAATAGGAGTTATATTGATCTGAAACTAACCATACATATAAACAAGTCCTTTAAAAAATCTTTGATATGTCTTTTTAATTACTACGGTATTTACCACTGTATAGGACGAACTTTTTATTAAAATAATACGATCGGAACTGCATCATAGTAAATTACATACCATGTGACATGTCCAGTGAATGAATGATATTTGGAGAGGTAGCTAGTTTATTTTTACGTTTTTTGCTATCCAATTTTTTACAAATATGCTTGCTCTCATAAACCTTTTCGTAGCGTATTTCTTGTATAATTGCTCATGTTTGAGAGGTTTTATAAGGTATTGAAGAATTAAGTTCTCGCAAACTCGAAGTTCTTCCTCAGTATACATCGAATAATGAATCAAATTTGCATGCTAATAGGAAAATAATATAATTAATATTTGATCACATTTATGTTAAGACCTTATGGAGAGAATTTAACATACCCATTCAGCACGGTTAAGCATTTTTCTAGCGAGATATAAAGAAACCGCGGCAATCATTGAAGGTGGTGTTGACAGAAACTTGTAATCAACGAGTGAAATTTCCATAAGATATTTTGCAACAGTACGAGCTTGGATGTCAAAATCGTCAGCTTTGGAGGATCTTCGAAGAAAGTTCATGGGATTCGGATAGCATAATTTGAAATCAATAATTGTAAGAACATAACGTTCTGCCTTGAGGATTTCTGCTTCTGTATATCCGTTATCAGCCATATAAATGAAATTTTTGACCGATGGAGCCAAAACTTCCTCATATTTTGCCGCAATAAACAACCCAGTAATTCCAACTAATTGGAGTTTGACCAGTGAAACAACACGGACTGAAAGAAATCGATCAATAATATTGACCGCTAAAAACAAAGTTTCAGGAAGTAGACGAAACTTGTGATGAACCTCGATTAACCAATCGACGAGGATTCCTCGCATTCTCCAAGTTAGCTCAGTTTGAGATAACATATAATCAGGTTTAGGCATCGTATCGATCTATTTATAAATGAATCACAATTATAATCGAGTTACAATCGATTTTTTTTGTAAAAAATTACAAAAAATATTTATGAATTTACCTCCAATTCCTTTAGATATTTAAAAATATCTACTGCATATTCAGAAACTGTCATAGGATCATAGAGATCATCAGCGTCTAAATCTTCCCATTCTTGAATCCTTTGTTTCTTGGAACGTTTTCGATCTAATTCAGATATGTCATTAACCCCTACAGCTGGAAAGATTAAGTTTGAATTCTCGTTTTTTATTATGGGCTTTGTGATATCATGTGCTTTCTCGGTGGTAGTAGTTGGTTTAACCGAGATATTCGTACGATCCATAAGCAGAGCGCGTTTTCTTGTTCCCATGCTCACCAATGGTTTTACTTGTTGTGATAACACCAAATTTTCATTTCCCATCACTGGTCTTACTTGTGGTTTTATTGGTGGTTGTATGATATTCTCATTTCTCCCCGATGGTTTTATCTGTGTTGGCACTATGTTGACATTGTTGACTTTGCTAACATTGCTGACATCGTCCAGTGCGGTTCTCTTACGCGCGTGTGCAACTTTTTGTGGAATCGCGGTGGTATTACTTGGAGCTCTCATTGGAGCAATTTTGCGTGGTTGCACCTAACAACATTTTAAAGTAGATATAGTAGTAACAACCTTGTCGTCCTTTGTATTATGAATTTGAACTTTTATCAATATGTAAAGTTATGTTTTAATTATACCTGTTTCTTCTTATCTACGTTTGGCAACATTTTTTCAATTGTTTTTATTTTTTTTATTATGAGCAACAAACTTTTTGAAAGTCGAAAGTGAAAGAGAAGCAACTACTAACACTGGATAAAAGTATTAAGTTTTATTTAAACTATTTTACCAACATCCAATAGTGTTTCAGTTGATTGTTTTTTCACTACTTTGTAAAAGCTTTTTCTAAACAAAAAAAAAAAAATATATAAAAATAAAAAATGTAAAAGCTTTTTCTAGATAACGGGTGACGTAATAATAACCCAGAACGCGAAAAATCAACAATGAATTGACCAATCACTGCAAATAGTCTAAAACAAGTAATCGTGGAAATTACGACATTTTAATACTGATCTGATGATCATTTAATTATTATGGTATTTATTTGTAATTAAATAAGAAATTTTTTTTAATATAAAATATTATTAGGTGTTTATTAGTAAATTTAAGCATTATATACAAATATTTAAATTAATTATTAAAATATGATTCACTTGATTTACTGCTACTCTCTTAGTAAAGTAACCCACTATATCAATCCAAATTTAGCATATATTATTTTTTTTTACTTTACAAAAAGCGAAAAACAATAGAAAGTTATATATATATATATATTTGATATAAATCTATATGAAATATGTGCAAGATCTAATTATAACTGACTTTACAATGAAAATGGCCCAGTTACCAAAGTGCAGAAAGGAATATTGAATTAATTATGAACCGTAAAAAAAAAGTAAAAATAAAAATTATTATTCAATAGTCCAATTTACAAAGAAGCAAAAGGAGAAATTAAAGATATTACAAAACAAATAGATTACAAAAAAAGTTTATGATGTAAAATAATCTCAATTTTTTTTTTTTAAAAAAAAAAATTAAAAAAGAATTTTCCAAACATGGTTAAAAAGCAAATATACAACCCAATTTAAAAGGAACGGGTAAAACTTAAAAGAATGAGTTTAGTTCGTAGTAACTACGTTATCTGAAAGGTTATAAAGAAGTTGAGCCAAATAACGCTTGGTGACCATGTCATCCTTCAAGACTTGCGAAAACGTAGCATCCCTTAGTGGTTCTGGCAAACATTGTCGAAGAGCTTCCCGCGCTCTATTAAAAAAAAACAAATATGTTATATTCTTCATCATAATACTTTTTATCAATCCAGAAAAATATCAAACCTAGGATTATCAGAGAGGCGAAGGTAGCACCTGACAACGTGTTTTAACAAACGAACAGCCTGAGTTTCAACAAGTTGAATAACCATATTGCTCAAAACAGTACCTACGGCGTAAAAACGCTCATAGGTAGCACAGATATATTCCAACCCCATTTCATCCAATAAGATCTTTTGAACAATAAAGATAGCCACCTAAGAAAATAAAAAATAATTAATTAAATGCGATTGATTGATTGAATGTTTGAAAAAAAAAATTTTTTTTTTAATAAAATCAAATCAAATCTTACTGTTTTTGATAGTTCGCTTCCAGTTTCCATTATGCGTAAACATAGAGGTATAATTTCAGTTGACAACAAAAATGAGATAACTTCGGGATTATCATTCTATAATGAAACGATCAAACAAACATTAAAATTATTTTTGGATAAATCGATATAATTTTTAATGTACGAATACGAACCTTTACAAGAGCACCGATAACGCCTAGGCTTGTTAATCTAAGGTATTCAAACGGTCTAGTCTTGCTCGTTGTATTAAGAAATGGGTACAAAAACAAAGGAATGTGAGCTAAACGAAATTTTATCGAAAATTAGTTTTATTTTCTAAAATTTAAAAGGATTACGTAAAGAATGTAAGCACAAATCTTAACAAACCGTTTAAAAATAAACCTCGAGTTTCACTATGACTTGCCACACATTGCAATAATGCCAAAGCATTACAAACACGATTGGATATCTGGCCTGTAAGTTGAGGTGGCACAAGAAGCGGATAAACTGACACTATTTCCTGTAACAATGCTGCCATTACACCTATTTTCATTCAATGGAAAAAAGAAAAGAATTTTAGATAAACGTTAATTAATAACAACGAATTTCATGATAAAGTAGTAACCATACCAAATGAATGCCATAATATCAACGCCAAATCATCATATTGTTCCCGCTTTTTACTCAACTCCACAAGAGCCTGTTCCCTGTTAGCAGGATTTGTTAACTCGGTAATTAAAAAATAAATTTTTTCTTCCTCTAATTTATGTTGGTGTTGCATCGGTAGAGACAACTGAGTTCCTATACCAGTTCCCCAGGGATCACCACCCATAGGCAAACCATGAAGATTTGATGCAGAACCATGAAGCTGCGAGTTTAAGTTATTAGCACCTCCAACATTCAAAGGATTTGGTGTAGCTATAGCCGAAGCTGTGGCTTGTTGCAGTTGAAGAAACTGTTGAATTTGGGGATTAGTGTGATGTGGAACGAGAGAATGCATAATATTTTTTTTTTATTGTTTTGTATAATAAAGGAGTTTTTTTTCCAGAAGTTTTTGTTGTTACTATTCTGTCAATATAATAAAATATTAACCTCTTAAAGATAACTGTAACTGCTTGTTTTTAGAAGAGGATAAACTTTTAATAAGCAGTATACCTATACTAAAAAAAAGCAAGCGAACTGATTTTTTTTCCTTGAGCTTCTAAATATATTTATTTATCTATTAAACTTCTAGCTAGTGAGGTGCTAACTCCAAAAGGTGTTTGTTTGCAAGAGTGAGGTGGACTTGCAAAGATTTGTTGAATGTTTTTTTTTCAACGTTTTAATAAGGGAGGAGGATCCTTAAACAGGTTGAATTTGTTTTGGTCGAGAATTAAATTGTTATTGATTGTATTGAAACAGGAAATCACATGATTACAAATAATATCGATATTCCCCCAAAGATCCAAAGATTGTATTTCTGGTTTGGGTTTAAACTAGGTTGGTATAGTCCATTATTGTTCCTTTAAAATTAAATTAAATGAATCATTTATTAAACCACATGACTACGATAATCAGCAACCGGGCCTTCTGTTACAAAAAATTTATCAGTTATTACAATAATAATATAAATCTACAAGATTTTCGTTTCTAACCCCTAAAGTTGCGATAACTCTATCATGAGTAGTCCCGCGCCATTTAAACTCTCAGAGTATCCACGCCGACCTGGAAATGGACGAATTGGTCGCCCAATTCGTGTTAAAACCAATTTTTTTGAAGTTTTGCAACTACCAAGTATGTTCATGCTTGTTTTACTATTATCCTTATGTCTTCGCAGTGTACCAACTGTCATGATAACTTTTAGATGCGACTGTGTACCATTACGATGCTGATATTTCCCCTACCGTGCCCGCTTCCCTGAACCGTAAGATATTCGCGCATTTTGTAAAAGTTGAGTCTGGAGGCATACTTGGAGGAATTAAACCAGTATATGATGGTATTTATCTATTTTTTCTATCAAATTATCCCATTTCAATTCATTGATAAAATTATCTATTATAGGTCGTAAAAATCTTTATACTATAAAAGAATTTCCGTTTGGTGATACTGTTACTCATCAGGTAACTGATACCATGCAAGAGAAGTAAATAAAATATGACTTATAAATTAAATTAAAATCTATATTAGGTTATATTGCCCGAAAATAATCCTACTGCGAATTCAAAAAAGCCTCCACGCAAGTTTACTATCAAATTGAAAAAAGTGGCCAAAAGAAATCTCGAAGAAGCGCTTCGTTTTGTTCAAGGAAAAAGTGCCACCTCGAATAATATATTGTCCGGTAATTAAATATTATGTTATAGCATAAGGTTATTATTTTTCATCTTTTCTAAACTTAATTATTTTAGCAATCGGAGCACTTGATGTTTTAATAAATCAAGAACCCTCAATGAATTTTACCACTGTCGGTCGTCGTGCTTTTTATACATCTGAAAATTCAAGTACTTTATCTGGCGGTGCTGAAGTTTGGCAGGGTTATTGGCAATCATTACGACCAGGTCAAGGTAAATTATTTTGATGCATATCCTTATTTGATTACAGAATTAATTTTTTTTTTTTTGTTTTTTCAAGGCAAATTTTATATCAACTTTGACACGAGTGCAACAGCATTTTATGAAGCAGGTTTGGTCAAATAAATATATACTCCATTCTTGCGTGAATTAAATACAAACATAAAAATCTTTTGTCACACTCTAGGCAATGTTGCAACCTTAATTGCTAAAATTCTAGGTCGAAGAATTGAGGAGCTTCGGAAGGGTTTTAATTTAAGAGATCGCCTTAAAATTGAAAAGACACTCAAACATTTAAAGTTTCGGGTTACACATCGAGGTGCTAATTTTCAACGTCGATACAAAATTAAAAAATTATCGGAGAATTCGACACAAGAAACAATTTTTTCTAAAGGTATGATATTAAAATGAGTTGTGACCTTGTTTTTAAATAATAAATGAATTTACAAAAGAGTTTTCTTAAATATCAAGGAGAAGGAGAAGGAAACATTAGCGTTGTAAAATACTTTCAGCAACAATATAATCTTAAATTACAATATCCTTTTTTACCTTGTATTATGACTCCTAGTGGAACATATTTCCCTCCCGAAGTATGTGATTTGGAAGCGGTAAGATAAAGAAGGGTTCATAATTCTGTTCATATAATATAAATAAATTACCCTGACCTTAAATGATTATGTAGGGTCAAAGAGTAACAAGAAAACTTTCTGAAAAACAAACTGCTGAAATGATTAAATTTACGTGTCAAGGTAAGTTGTTAAAATTTTGTAAATAAGATAATGATTTGGCTTTAATATTTAATTATTGGTTATAGCTCCAACGATACGTGCGGAAAAAATTCAAAAAGGCATGGCCTTATTAAAGTATGATCAAAACGAATATTGCAAGCAATGGGGGCTTAAGGTGTCTTCGAAAATGGCTGTTATCGATGCTCGCGTACTTCCCGCCCCTAAGTTGGCTTACCATCCTGTATGTCGACAATACTTTATATAATAAACCGATTAAATTATGTCGCTGATAATAAAATTTTACTTATTTAGTCCGGAAAGGAATCAAATTTTGCTCCTCAATTCGGTGCCTGGCAACTTGGTCCTGGCAAAAAAGTAGAAGTTTTATATTACTGATTTATTCGTTAATTATCGATCTTAATTTATAATATTTCTTAGATGTTAAACGGAGCTACATTGAAATCATGGTCTGTAATCGTTTTTGCGAGTCCCCATCAGATTCAAAAAGAAGTAGTGGATGTATTTCTTCGTGAATTGATAAAGACCTTGGGAGAAAATGGTAATCTAATCATATTAATCATAATTTTGTAAAAATCACATTGCATATTTTAAAGTTTGATCTTATCCTTTTCTAGGAATGAATGTAGTAAACCCTACACCTCCAATTATGCATGCAAATCCTCAAGGAAATATTGAAACTACAATACGTCAAGCCCATACAGCTGCTGGAAATGCTGCACATTATAAACCTCAATTAATTATATGTGTTCTTCAGGGTCGTTCTACATTATATGACGAAATTAAAAGGATTGAAGACACAGTCTTGGGAGTTCCCACCCAGGTAATGACAATTTTCTCTTTTCTTTTTCTTTGACATATATACAGTTTTTTTTAAGAAAAAAAGAATGATTGCTATAATATTTTTTAATAATCTGTAGTGCTTAATTTCAAACAAATTATATAAACCAAACAAACAATATTGTGGAATGCTTGGTTTAAAGATCAATGTTAAACTGCAAGGAAATAACGTGTCGTTACAACGAGAATATCTCCCTTTTTTTCTTGAAGCTCCGGTATTTAAAAACACAATCAAAAATCTAATGATTTACCTGTCGGATAATTTTCAATTTAACTTAATCTAATTTGTAGACTATTATCTTTGGTGCGGATGTTACACATCCTGGTTTCGGTAAGTTTAGAGGGAATCATATACTTAATTTATAAAATAATTTAATCGTATTCGACTTTTCATCAAAATATTTTAGGAGATAATAATCCAAGTATTGCTGCAGTGGTTGCGTCGTTTGATGCCCTTGCGACAAGATACGCCACATCAATAAGGTTTCAAGGTTCTCGTGTTGAGATTATTTCTTCACTTAAAGAAATGGTACAGGAACTTTTGAAAGTTTTCTATAAAGAAACTCGTAGGAAACCGGAACGAATTTTATTTTATCGAGACGGAGTCAGCGAAGGACAGTTTGAAGAAGTTTTGACGTTTGAAGTTGATGCTATACGAAAAGCATGCATTACTTTAGAAGCAACCTATAAACCCAAAATTACATTTGTCATTGTTCAAAAGAGACATCATACCAGGTAATTTTCGTAATGTTCTTCATTGGCGTGAAATTTGTTGATTTCGTAATAATATTAAATCTTTTTATTTCTAGATTCTTTCCTACAGACAATAACATAGATAGGTCAAAGAATTGCCTTCCAGGTAAGGACAACTTTGTTTTTATTATTATTTATTAAAAAAGTAAAAAAAAAATTAATCATTGTGTCAAATTTCAACAGGGACCGTCGTGGAAAAGGAAATAACTCATCCATTTGAATTTGATTTTTGTAAGCTAAACTGTTATCATTAATTTATATGTTCTGTAAATTATAAATTTATAATACTTTTAAGTTTAATTTTAGATTTGCAGTCTCATCCTGGCTTGCAAGGAACCTCTCGCCCAACGCATTATCACGTTTTGATTGATGGTAACGATTTTCGTTTTATTTTTTTCCGTATACTTTCTTTCATTTTATCAACCATTTTAAAGAGTATATATATTGATTTTAATATGTCAGAAAACAAGTTTCAGTCAGATCCCCTGCAGAGCTTAACGTATAATCTTTGTTATTCATATGCGAGATGCCCGAGAGCTGTTTCAGTAGTACCTCCAGCATATTATGCACATTTAGCCGCATTTCGTGCCAGGCATGTTTTTGATATTAATTTAAATAAAAATTTGCTTCGAAATTATCTTACCAAGTATCTTCTTGTTTTTAGATGTTGGAGGAAAGTACCAATATTCTCTTCAGAAGGCAGTGGTGAGGACGTTGAAGACTATACCAATTTAAAGCCAGAATTACAAAAAGTGATGTTTTTCATTTAAGTTTTAACATGAATAGATTTATTTTTTTTTTTAAATTAAATAATAAAAAAAAAAAATCAAATAAAGTAAACTTATCAAGCAATTTAAATAATTTTTTTTTTTTTTTTTTGGTGATTTACGATTATTTTGTATTACAATATTTAAATCTAAATTACAACCTTGACAGAAAAAATAATTAGAATCTTTTATTTGACTGATTCTTATACATCCTATAGACAAGAACCAAGACGCCAAGAAAAGCAGAAGTTGCAATAAATTTTAGTAAAAATAAGAAGCCAAACCAACTTGATGAAGAGGAAATATCTTGATGACGTGATGACGGTTTATAAGCTCTCGGTGGAATGGAGACGATGTTATTTGTTGTAACGGCAATTATATCATGGGAATCACTAACTTCACCCGTTAAAGCAGTGAAACCAAGGTAAGAAACTGTTGGAATGGTAATATTTGGAACGGTAAAGCATGGCTCCCATTGATCCCATGCTTTATATTGTAACTTGACCTCAAGATAATTATTTTTGTAATAAGTTATTCGTGCTTTAGTTGCGATCGATTTGCTTCTTATATCAGCCTCACATCCTGCGACTTCATTGCGTTTACCATCATTATCGAGATCATATTCAGTATTGCCATCGCCAATCATTGCCATTACGTAAGGGAACGAATGCTAATTTTCAAAGATATGTTCCTTAATAAAATTATTAAATGAAATTATAAATCGCGTCTTTTAACTAATGACTTACTGATTGTCTGGAGTTAGCGTATGTGTCAAAGAAGATACCAAGACCTTCGAATTTATCAATGAAACCAAAAACGGGTCCAACCTTTGCACGTTCAGTTGTAAGCCATATTGCCATTCCATCACCATGGAGGCTCGGGTTTTGTCCGCTGATCTTAAATTCAACTTCTACTTGCCAATTTGTAGTGGTTAAGGGCTAACAATCGGATTTAATTTCATAATTCAAATATTAAACATTTAAACTTACAAATTCACTCGAAAATAATAAGAATTGATAAATTCCTACCAAGCGACTCCATAACCAGCCAGTTTGAGAACTTCGATCATGGGTAAGTCTAATATGCTTGGCAGTATTGACAACTGCATCAGCACCAAAATCGAACCATCGGTTCTGAAGGTCCATATCTAAAAAATGAAAATATAATTTCGCGTTGTTATAATTAAGATAAGTCATTATTATTTAATACAATTACTTACCAATATAAGGCATGGAAATAGAATGTGTTCGAAGTGGAATTACACTTTCAGATTGATTGGCATCAGTGTCTATGTCCTCACGCGCAAGCGTGAAACAAATAGCAAGCCCCAATAGGGCAAAGCCTTTGAATAAAAACTTCATCGTGTTTTACCAAGTTAAATAAAAAAAGTGAAAAACCGTTTTTTTTTGGTTTTTTTTTTGTTAAATGATATTCAGATTTATGTGTCAATTACCTATTCGTAGATGTTCGTGTAACAATGATGGCACCAAAATCCATCTCATATATAGCATATATATAGCATATGGTAAATCCTACCAAATATTAAAGACAATTTTTTGACTCGACAAAATGTCCAATGAACAACAATTTCGCGAGTCTTTACGCTCTTTCCGCTGGGCTTCAAACTCTAATAATAACAATAATAACCTTAACTCTAACAATAACAAATCTTCCTTTTCCCGATTAACTGAGAATACTTCAAATTTTTTTGGCAATGTTGGTAATAGAGTGCAAGGATATATACCGTTATCAAATAACAACGTAGAAGAAGAAGAGGAAGAATGGTTTACATTAACCAGATGGCAGGTAGTAATGGTCCTTTTGGTAGAAATTTTTTTTTTGATTTTCATTTTTTTAATTTACTGACCAGATCCTAATTCTAGAGATTTGTTGGTTTTGGGTTTTGTCTAGCCGCTGGAGTCCTATGCTTATTAATTGTAAGTAATCAAACTATTTAAATTATTTGTAATCCTTTAAATAATCTTTTTTATAACTTTTCATTTTTTATCTTGTACAGGCTTTCCTCACTTTGCCGATTTTGGCGTTAAAACCAAGAAAATTCGCTGTAGTTTACACTATGGGTAGTTTATTAATTATATCAAGGTATAATTTTTTTGAATCTATTACTATTTTTTAAATTCGATACCTTATAATATTAATTTAAATATTTGCACCGTAGCTTTGCTTTATTGCATGGACCATTGACACATCTAAAACATATTCTATCCCGTGAGCGTCTTCCTTTCACTGTTGCTTACTTAGGATCATTGATAGCAACATTATATTTTGTGATCGTAGTAAGTAATTTCTTTTCATCAAGCATTGGCGATACTTCTTATTTACATTATACTGATTAAAAATTTTCATTTCTTTATAAAAGCTAAAAAGCACACTACTCACTCTTATATTTACTATCATACAAGTTATAGCCCTTATATGGTAAGCCGATAATCTTTACGATTTATTATATCTCAATTATTATTATTTTAGTAACAATTTTATTTATTATTATATATAGGTATATCGTTTCGTATTTGCCAGGAGGAACCAGCACATTACAAATGGGATCGCGCTTAATTGCGCGTCAAGCTTCAGGAATATTACCAATCTGATAAAACAAGTGAAACCAATTTATTATTATTGCAACCTTGTAATAACATAAACACAAATACTTTAAAGTGCTGGTAGAATTATTTTGATATCATTTTCTTATTTATAAATAATAAGAAATATTAAATTTTATTATATAATGATGTATTATTAAAATACAGTGTAATTAATTTAGACAATAATGATCCTTCATATAAATATTATCATATAAAATATATTAATATAAATAAATAAGTAAAATTCAACAATGTTTTGAAACAGACAATTTCTATTTGACACGGGGTGTATACACATTATGAAGTTCATATATAACATGATTATTATTTTTAACACTTTCTAAAGTTGGAAACATTAGAAAACATAAAAATGAATTAATATTTTGATATTTTAATTTTTAATTTTAATCTAAAATCAAATTAAAATATATTAGTTTTTTATTGTAAATCTAAGGTTTCTAAATATTACTGGCAGTTGATGTGCTCTAAAAAGATTGAAAGCATAAATTTAACATCATTAGTAAAAGATAAAATTTTATTAAAACATTAAAAATTTTCGAAATTTAAAAAAGGTAAAAACTATATCAAAAATGGCGAAGTTTAGACATGTTAACAAATTCAAAATGATTTAGATAAACAACTTAGTTAAGATCCTATATTATTATAAATATTTACTAAATATATAGTATTATGTAATTAAATGCATCTTTCTTAAATACATATTATATATTTTCTCTATAAAGTATAACTCCATAAAGTTAAAAGTCATATAAAACTTCTTTCTTTAAATACAAATCTACACAATTTTCAAAGTTTCATTATGGTCTCTTAAAGGAAGTATACATTTTTAAAGAGGTTTTATTATATTATTATAATTTAATTTAAGTTTTAACTTTAACTAATAATAAAATAGGATTTGAATAAAATAATATGAAGACAATTTTGAAATTTATTTTATAAACCGAAAAAGTATAAAATATAATTTATTATATAGAGTTTGATTTATAATAGCAATGCAAATAATATTTCACCTTTTATACTTAAAGAAGGTTAAAGTAAATATTATTATTGATATGATTAATTGTAACCTTAATATTTTTGTTTTGTAAATATTAAGAATAATTTTAATATTAGAAAAATATCAAAATTACATATAAAATACCTTAAATAAGTTTAATATTTAAAATATGTAGTAAAAATCATATTCTATAAATCATTAAATTTTTTAATATTTTAAAATCATGTGATTAGAAAAATTTAACATATAAACATTTTTTATTACTATTAATATTAAAATAAAACAACTATTTTTTCTTAAAATTTAAAGCTAAAATACTATTAGAAAATTAAAATATATGACAATATCTATTAATTTAAATAAATAAACAAAAAAAAACCTAAATCATATTTAGAAAGCTAAATATCATTATAAATTTGATTATAAAGATACATGGTAGTATTTGATAAAATATTAAATGTGATTTTTTGTAAGTTTGTAATGCAATAAATATTATTAAGAGATTTGATAAAATAATACTTTTGATTAAATCAATAAAAGTTAAAGAGTCATTTCAAAGATGGTAGTTCAAAGATCATCAGTGTTTAAATAGTGATTAAGGAGTTATAAGGAGTAAAATAAAGTGAAATAAGTTGATATAGAAAGAAATTTTTAGTATTTCTATTAAAAATAGGCATCATAATTAAGAAGTTGCAACTTGGTTGCAACTTCTTGTTAATTTATTTTAATATAAAAATTCATAAATAGTTGTAACTCAAAGAGTTGCAACTTAAGTTACAACTAGTTAAAATAATTATGGAAACCATTTTTAGTTGGATTCCTAGAATAACTAAAATAATATACAATTTTTGAATTTTTGTTATAAATTAAAAGTATTATCATAATCATCAATATTTTCAAAATTGATATATGTATAAGGTCTTAGTCTATATTGTTTATCTTTAGGAATAAAATATGATTTTGCTTTAATTTAGGTTAGAAAATCAGATAGATCTAATTGAATAATGTTAAAGGGGAGTCTAGTAAATTTAAATTCAAATTATTGTCAAAGAGCAGTTTGAATTTTATTTATATCAGTAGGTTCAATTCTAACTGAAAATTTCAGTAATAAGATAAATCAAGTGGTACTATAAAATTATTGGATTGAGTCAGATGATTCGTAAATAATAACAGCTATTTGTCAAAAACCTCTAGTAATCATTGAAAATCTGCAAATCCTTTCATATTTTTCAAAAACATTTTATATAATGTCAGATTTCACAAAAAGTAAAATATTATTAACTTTGTTATATTTGCCTTTTTTATTATCTTTGCATTATTGTGTAGCATTAGAGTCAATTACTAAAAAAATTAAATTATGTTGTATTTCTTTGACTTTATCAGTTGCTTGTGTTAGGGAATCTAAAAAGTAAAAATAAATATAGAATTTTTTTTGTCTAGTATTATAATATAGGATCTGTATCCATCAAAGTGGTTGAAAAATTTGTTGATCATGTAATGTTTTCTGCAATTAAAGAACTAGTAATATCCTTAGTATCTGTAGATGCATAAATGTATAGGTAAAGTAATAATAGTAAAGATTCTTTATTGTTATCATCATTTTCATTAGTGATGTAAGGTTTAAAGTCGTTAGCCCAAGTTTTTTTTTTTCCTTTAATATCTTAAGTTTGAATATTATTGAAATTTTGTGAGAAAGAAGAAGAGGGGATTGATATAGTAATATGTATAGAGTCATTTGTAGTTTAGTTAATTAAAACAAAAGATTGTGAAGTTGTTTATTTTCATAATAAAGTTTTCTTTAGTATTGTTTATTATTTGATATTTAAAAGAGAGTATTTTATATATCTAAGTTATTAGTTTAATTATTAAAAGAGGTAAGAATAATATTTTCAATAATATTTTTCAAATTATTTGTAGAAGAGGAAGAGAATTTTTTTTATTTGATTAGAGTTTCAGTATCAAAAGTGTTTGAGTTTTTTGTTTGAGAGATATAAGGTATTTGAAGTGAAATATTTTAAGCGTTTCAAATAAAAAATTCAGTAAAATAATTTTGCTTACAAATTTTGTTTGAATTTTTCATTTGTCTAGTAGTGATCATATTGAAGTAGGAAAGAGTTCGTCAAAATTGGATTAGTAGATTAGCAAAAAATCAATCTACAAGATCATATCGTTTTATATAAAAATCAGTCTAATCAAATTTTTTTATATAGCAATAATCAATTTTTCACTGATCTATTAATCTAATTTTGACGAATTTTAGCTTATTGAAATCGCTGTTTTGAGGAAAATCAGAATCTAGTATCAGTTTTTTTTAATATCCAGCCTGCTCAAAAAATAATTTTTATACTTAAAAATCAATATAAAATTTAAAGTATTATATACAGTGTGGGACAAAAAAAACCAGAATTTTTTAAATACATATTATGCAAAAACTAACGACACTAACTAAATATATTTGAAGCTAAAAACTAGCTAATTTTATTAATATTTTTTTAGAACAAAATTCGTTCACCATTATTTTCTATAATAAGTTCACATTGGCATTTCATTGATCCTATTAATCCAATTAGAATCAATTCTGAAATATCGTCTCATTCTTTGATTATATATCGATGCAAATCATCGGTATTCTTTGGCATTTTCTTCTTTACATTCCTTTTAACAATACTCCAAAGGTTTTCTATCGGATTTAGGTCTGGACTGTTAGAAGGCCAGTCAATAACTTTAGGAAAATTTTCCTGAAGAAATTTTTTGGCATGATTGCTGATGTATTTTAGATCATTGTCTTGCTGAAAACACCATTCATCTTCCAACAAGTCTTCAATCTCTGGAAGGTGGCTACGGAGTATGTTTACATAAAATTCAGCATTTATTATTTGAGAAAAACAATATAAACTTGTTTTTCCTTTTACACAAAATCCTCTCCATGCAAAGATTTTCATTTGATCTTTAGACATAAGGCGTATCGGTCATTGTCCTTTATGCCAGCGCTCTACAATATTCCAGAACAGTTGGAAGGCAGTCTCATCTGAAAACAGAGTTTTGTCCCAATCATTATTAAGATAATTTTGGGCCTATTCTACCTGTTTACATTTATGGTTCGCGGTCAGCATCAGCGTTGCTCTTGGAAGGTCTTTTTGGTATCCAATTTCAGCTAAATGCCTTCCTACTGTCCTATAGGACACATCTACACCTTTCTATAACAACCTCATTGACAGGATCCTTATTGAAATAGAAGAATCCCAGCGGACAAATTGGGCTAATGCTCTTGATGCATTAGCCATAATCTTTTTTGGGCGACCACTTCTTTCTACACGCTGAATTGTCTCAGACTTACAAAGCTTGGTAAGGTTATTGTATACAGTCATAAGGGAAATTCCAATGCATTGATGGATTTCTCTAGCCTTTTGAATACCCCGATTCCATAATTGTAAGATCACTTGACGGTTAGTTTCTTGTCTGGAAGTCATTGTTTCTAATTAATTGATTTTTAGGGTTTTTTTAAAAAATTTTAATATTTAGTAATACAAAAAAAAAATTTATATATTCACTTACCTTACGATTATTTTTCTTTTTACATATTTCAGATCAGACTTGATTTGGCTGAGATCTGCATCTTTTTATTTCTCAAAAAAAAATTCTGGTTTTTTTTGTCTTACATTGTATATGTTTAATAATGTTATAATATAAAAAAATTATTTAAAAATAACTTAAAAAATTTAATATATATTAT